CTTCTTGCTTTCCCTTAGGCAAGGTAAAAAACGAGGAGTCCCCATATATGAAGAAAAATTAAGTAGACAAAAACGGGGTACCTTACAAATTGACAACTGGAAAGATAATGAGTGGCCTCCCAAGCAAATCATCTAGTACTATGGTGTTACCACTTGTGTAGAAGATGGGTCCTGGGGCTATCGCACCCCGATATATATGCTCAAACACATCATCAGGCTTCAGGCTGTTGTCGAAATTATAACTAATGAAACCGCAAGAGCTCTCAATTTGCTGACAAAACAAAGCACTAAAATGCACAATGCAACTATCAAAACCTCTTAGCTCTAGACTGCTTGCTTGCTTCTAAGACAGGAGTTTGTGAAAAATTTAACCCAAGCAACTGCTGCTTATAGACTGATGATGAAGGGAAGGTTATAGAAGAAATCAGACAAAATGCCCATGTCCCCATCCAGATTTGGGAAGATAGAATCCCAATGACTTGTTTGGAGGATGGTTCTCTGCCTTGGGTGGATTCAAAACCCTGACAGAGGTGATGGGTCTTGTCCTAGGAGGATGCTTAGTGTCACCCTGCCTGGTTCCCCTGGTATTGCAGTCTATCAGAACCATTCTGGAGGCCACTACAGAAAGTAAAACTGCCACATATGTAATGATACTATGAAAAAAAATCCCCTAGATCAAGATGATGCTTTGACCCTAGGTGGGTCCAAGCATCAAAGGGGGGAATAATGTATCAGGGAGGAAGACCAGAAAAGAAACAGACAAGTCTGTATTCTGATAATGAAGCAGGGGGGAAGGGATGTCATAGCAGAGAGATAAACTTAAAGAATCTAAATACAAAGAAGATTACATAACACTGGGTGGGGTGGGGGGTGAAGCAGCCAATAGAGTTGCATGCAACCCATGTATGGGTTAAACTTTGCTTTTTGCTTCTGTAACCTGCTTACAAGAGTGTACAGGGTAAGCCCCTTTGTTCTTGGGGCTTTGTTCTCAGACTTAGTCTGCTGAGTCTGTGCCTGCACAATAAGTTGCTTCCTGATGAATTGCCTCCGTGTCCAGTGTCTCTGTTTGAGTTTCCCATAACAGAAACAGATAATCTGAACAGATCTACGGCAAATGAAGTGATTGACTCAATAATTTTTTTAAAAACACCCTTAAACACATGGGATATGATGGCACACACCTGTAGTTCTACCTACTCAGGAGACTGAGATAAGGATCACTTGAGCCAAAGATTTCAGTACCAACCTGGGCAACATAACTAGACCCCAAAAAATAAATGAAATAAAAAGTTCCCAAGCTCAGACACCAATAGCTTTCACATCTGAACACTACCAAATATTCAAATAAGCAATGCCAATTTTTCAAGAACTCTTCCACAAAACAGAAGAGAAAGGAACATTTCTCAACTCATTTTATAAAATCAGACAAGGACATCACAAGAAAACTAGAGAAGAGTATCTCGAAAAAATAAGACACAAAAGTGTTCAATAAAATACTAGCAAACTAAATTCAACAACATATGAAAGGACTATATACATGGTCAAGTGGGATTTATCCCAGGGGAGCAGAGTTGGTTTATCACCCAAAATCCATTAACACAAATAATGCATTATATCCACAGAATCCCACGGTTATCTCAATAGACACAGAAAATGCATTTAACAAAGTAACACTTTCATCATAAAAAGACTCAACTAACTATTGCAGAAGCATACTCCCTCACCCTGATAAAAAATCCCACAGCTAACACTATATTCAATGGCAAGACATGAAATGCTTTCCCTCTAGAATCAGAACAAGACAAAAAACTCTGCTTTCACGACTTCTATTCAACATTGTACCAGACGCTCTATCTAGGACAGTTGGCCAGCTAAAGGAAATAAAAGGTATTCAGATTGGTGAGGAAGAAGTAAGGCTATCTATATTCACAGATGACATGATCACGTACATAGAAAACCCTAAAGAGTTCCATTAAAATTAATAAATGGGTTCAGCGAGTTGCAGAATTCAAGATCAGTATCTTATATTATATAAAAACCAGGCTAGGGACATAGCTCAGTGATAGAGCATGTCCAAGGGCCTGGGTTCAATCTCCAGCACCAGAAAAAAACAAATAAACAAACAAAACTGCTGCATCAAAAGGAAAGTGTAAACCAAAACTGACACTTTCTCAAAGACAATTATAAAATCACTTCATATCAAAATATTGGGGACTCAATAAAAAAACTGACCAAACAAAAAGTCATGGATTAAATAATTCAATCAATAAAATGAGAGAATGAAAACAAAAAATAACAGAATGAACTATTCAATTAACAAGTCAGAAACAGATTCAGGTGTAGTATGTTCCTGAGTCCCAGCTGCTTGGGAGACTGAGGCAGGATGATTTTTTGAGCTTAGGAGCTTAAGGACGGCCTGGGAAGAACAGGAAAACACAGTCTTGAAAGAAAAGTTAGAAAACAGTAATGCAATAAACCAAAACAGCAAAAGGAAGGAAATTATGGTACAAGTAAACACCAACTTCATAAAGAAAAATAAAAGCAACAATACAAAACCTACTTCTACATGATTTTCAACTAAACACCTACTTGATTACCATAGACAGAAATTAGTTGTAATTAAATGAAGATAAACTTCTGACTATATATTCTGAGTAAGGTATATTATAAGAACAAAAGGAACATCAAATAGGTTGTGTACTGGATTCAAGTAGGTTTAGTTTAGAAGAAATTTCACTATTAGCTGCACATGGTAGCTCTTGCCCAGCATTCAGAAGGTTGAGATAGGAGGATAGAGTCTAAGGCCTGCCTGGACTGCATAATTAAGACTCTGTCTCAAAAACAGAAAGGAAGAAAAGAAAGAAGAAGGAGGGAGGGAGGGAGCAAGGAAGGAAGGAAAGAAGGAAAGAAGGAAGGAAGGAGAGAGGGAAAGAGAGAGGGAGGAAGGGAGGGAGGAACAGAGGGAGGAAGGAATTTCACTGTTATATTATGAAATTATTATTTTACAAAAAAGTATGTAAATACTATTCAGTGTATTATAAAAAGTACTAAAAAGGACTGGGGGCATGGCACAAGTAGTAGGGCATTTGCCTAGCAATATATGGCACAAACTGTAATCCCAGCACTTGGGAGGCTGACACCAGAGGACTGTTAAGAACAAAGGCTAGCCTAGGTTACATAGTAAGACCTTGCCTCAAAAGATAAATTAATTATTTAATTAAAATAAAATACATTTCCAAGCCTAGTGCAGTGGCACACACCCGTAGTCCTAGCTACTTGGGAGGCTGGGGTAGGATTACCCCAGCCCAGGAGTTCAAGGTCAGTCTAGGTAACACGGAGTTCCCATTTCAAAAATAAATACATATATAGCTATAACCACTGAAAAGAAGGGGTGACAACTCAGTAGCAATGATCACATTCAGCATTCAGATCTTACTTCTACAAACATTCCTCATGGAAGAACTAGGTTCCATGAAGAAATGGATGATGTGCTTTAGGGCACAGAGAGAACAGGTGAGTGGCCTGAAACATCTTGTGCCATAAAGTAAGAGCGCAAGACTAAAGGAGTTATGCCAAACGATATGAGAATCAGCCTAAAATGGCTCCACTGGCCAAATTTTAGAGAACTGATCATCAAAAACTAAAACTGACTACAGTGAACTTTCATATTTTAAATAAATAAAAATTCATCAATCGTAAGAGAATGAGAAGACAAGCCACAAAGTAGGAGAAAATGTTTGCAAAACACTTATCTGACATAAAGAACTACTGTACTCTACAAAACATACAAAAGGCTGGGTGTAGAGGTTCACATCTCTAATTCCAGCTACATGGGAGGTAAAGTTAGGAGGATCTCAGGTTGACAAGAAAGTTAGGAAGACCCTATCTCAAATACAAACTAGGCACTGGCGGAGTGGCCCAAGTGGTAGAGCACTTGCCTAGCAAGTGTAAGGCCCTGAGTTCCCAGAACCAAAAAAAAAAAAATAAAAAAATAAAAAACAAGCAGGGTGTAGTGGCGCACATCTGCAATACCAGCTACCTAGAGGAGGTATAAGTAGAATTGCAGTCTGAGGCTGGCCTACATAATAAACACAAAATCCTCTCTGAAAAATAATTAAGACAAAAAGGTTAGGAGTATGGTTCAAGTGGCAGAGGGCCTGCCTACTTGCCTAGCCAGTTTAAGGCCCTGAGTCCAAAATTGTGTTGATTTAAGAAGTTTTAAATGAAGAATAATGAAAGTGAAAGAGAAATTTTTAGCTCAATAAAAGCTGAGAAGTTTTCTAACAGATTTTTTGAGGGTGAAATGTGGGAAGGAGAGTAATGCAAGAAAAAAAGTTTAAGTTCACAAATGAGGACTAATTTGGGGGTGTGTCTAAGACCTATAAGAGAGAAACCATCGCAGTTCTGGGGGTTAAGAGGAGATAGAATTTACATTCTCATTGTTTGTTGTTCCAAAATACAAATGCTATTAAGAGCTATAGAAAAATTAGCACAGTGAAGCCTCAATAACAAGAATATAATATTTTTTAAAAATATATGCTCTAACTAGCACTTAGAATCTAAAACTGTTTTGAAAATATGTCCCACAAGTTAAAGGAATGAATGTCTGGATTACAATAAGAGCTCAATGTGTGTCAGGAACGTATGTTTGTAACAAATGAAAATAAAATAAAGGCAAAGAAAGTGATGTGACTTCTGCATGGTTGGAAAGGCTGTCTTAAACCTCTAGGCTTTGGATCCTAGCTTTTAAAACTACCAGCCTAAAACTGCATTCAGAGTGGCTATGACTACTTAAAGCAGAGATAGCCAGTAAAACACTTCCAACTACTATGTACGGTGACTGCTGAAAAGTACCTCTAGCTATATCTCAATACTATAAAACAATAGGAACCTTCAGACCAGCAACAATTGTTTCAAGTCACACACACACACTCACTCTCACTCTCTCTCTCTCTCTCTCTCTCTCTCTCACTCTGAAGGGTGGCTAGAGTGACTCTTACCCACTCTCCTTCATGTCCAAGTCATCAAACATCTGAATTAGTGAGATAGCAACCTCATAGATATCTTTCGTTATTATTGGTTCCTCCAGGCGGTGGGGAGAGAGCTGAAAATAGTAAAAGGACAAAGTTAGAATACCAAAATAGAATTAGAGAGGAAATGCTGGATTAGATGGGCGATTCACCCCTTCAGTATATCACTCTAACAAATGCCCTAAGTAAAAATATCATTTGGAGCCAATCCTTGAGCACGTGATATGTCAAGCACTGCTCGGGACACCTAACATGTCTGGTGCTAGAATCACCCATCACCATCCCCAGAGAACCCAAACAGAGAGATGAAATGTTTAACAGGAAATCTATTTTGAAGGCACAGGATCAATTTTGAAGCTGCACCAAAGTCTAGGGAACCCAGAGTCATTTCCAAACCCAAAGCCAGTGCTCTTCCACTCTGTCAACCTCTGCCTCCAAGAGCCCTCAGAATCTAACACCCTACCATTCAGGAAGTACCAGGACCTGGCAGCATCACATCTCTGTCTGCCAGCATGCCATAAAAGCATAACCACATGGTGAGGATGTCTGCCAACACTTATGAGATTACTAGACCACATTTAATTGTGCATTCAAACAAAACCAAATCAAGCCCAGATGGTTTTAAACTGTCCCCAGTTGCCTTTACAGGATGCTGGGCAACCACACTCTACCATCTCCCCGTCAGCCATCTATGCATGGCGTTCCAGGAGCTGAGGTCACAGCTGCATTAAGTGTCTCCACAGTGTTCCCACAAAGTCTGTCTTACAGCATTTCTGCAAGTTTTCCACCAAGAGCAAGAAGACCTTTTGTTTAACTAACAACCTTATTAAGCAAGGAATGGTAATCCCAGCACTCAGGAGAGAGAGGCAAGAAGTTCATAAGTTCAAGAACAGCCTGAGCTACATAGTGAGACCCTTTCTCCAAAAATATTTATCAGCTACTCTATGAAAGACATTGTAATTTGATTTTGTGAAGGACACACCAAAAGGAGTCTTCAGGTGATCAGAAGTTCATTACACATGGAAATTGTTTTTCCAATTTTTCTTAAGAGTAAATTCGGTCAGCTAGTATCCAAATATTCACTTCTCATTATTACTCTAATTCTAGTGATATACTTATGACAAGCTGACTTTTGTTATAAATTTGAAAAAGCATATCTAATACAACCAATCCTGATATACAACTGCTGCCTTCAATAATTTTCTGCTTTATCCAAACAATTATCAATATTCATCATAACACAACTATACAAAAAAGAAATAGATAGCTACTTGGAAGGCAGAGCTTGGAAGAATTACAGTCCAGACCAGCTCAAGCAAAAAGTTCATGGCCACTGCAGTGTGTATTTGTCACCCCAGCAGAAAGCACAAATAGCAGGATCATGATCCAGGCTGGCCCAGGCATAGAGTGAGACCCTATTCTCAAAAATAACCAACAAAAAAGGGATGGTATAGTGGTTTAACTGGTAGAGGACCTATCTAGCAAATGGGAGGCCCTGAGTTCAATACCCAGAACAAAGAAAGGAAGGAAGGGAATGAAGGGAGAGAGGGAGGGAGGGAGGAAGGGAAGGAGAGGGGGGTGGTGAGGGAGGGAGAAAGAGAGACATCATGCCCTGGCTGGCCAGGGAGGGACATATATGCAAGTAAGTGAAATACTGAGCATCGCAGAAAGCAGGAAAACAATTGCGGCTAACTGGGCATTCCTAGGAGTAGTGAAGAGGTCTGGTAGAGATGAACCAGTGTGGGTTGTAAGACACACGTGCACAGAAGCAACACTAGGAATCTCTCTGTACAGCTATTTTATCTCAAACTAGCAAAAGTGCTATGTCTTCCTTATTATCTCTTATGTTTTCTCTTCACCACCACCAGAGAACAAAAGGATGCAACAGGTTCACGCCTGGAAAGAGTGGTGGGGTGGGGAGGTGGCCCAAACAATGTATTCACATGTGAGTAAATGTAAAAACAATTAAAAAAAAAAGATAACTGGGTATCCAATTTAAGTGGATTAAAGACCTAAAAATGAGGAGAAAACCCTAACAGGAGTACTCTGGGGTGCTCTGGGGTGGAAGGGAGTAGTCTAAAAACTACACACAGCCTAATTGTGGAGGGGGGTTGCTATACTTCTGAACCTGGGTGGTGGATCATGGATGTTTACTTTACAATTTCATTAGAGTGCACGCTTACATCACTGTACCTTTTCTAAGGGTGTTCTTACCAAAAAAAAAAAAAAGATTGAAAATAAAGGATGAAAAGAACTCTTCAAAGGGACACTGAAAGGGAAAAAAACAGAACGGTACCAGAGGACCTAGGGACAGGTGAGGTTCAAGAAAATCCAAGTGGTTGCCAAATATCAGAGGGACCAGGAAAGTTTAGGGCTGAGCTCTCCTGACTCAGTAGGGAGGGCATAAGGACCCTGAGCTGAATGGGGATAGTGAAGTTACACTGTGAAAACAAAGAGCAGAGAAGCAAGACCATGAATCCAGAGAAAGGTTAGCAAACGCTGTAAAGGAACTTGCGACCCAAGGAGGGTACTTTTGAAGGTGAAAGAGACTCAATTATGTTTACATGTGGACAAGACAGGGTGAGTAGAGGAGATAACAAGATAAGGAGAGAAGGGTGAACAGTAGATCAGACAAGGCCCCTCAGAGAGGAGGCAAGAGGCTGAGTTCCACAGAGGGAAGGTACTTCCCCTAGCAGCCCTAGTAGTGGGGGAGGGTAATGAGACAGCAGTTAAGTATACCAAAAAATTGGAATCAACCAGGCACCAGTAACAGAATAGAGGACCCAGATATGAAGCCACAAAACTATGAGCAACTTGTCTTTGACAAAGGAGCTAAAAATATACGATGGAGAAATAGCAGCCTCTTCAACAAAAACTGCTGGGAAAACTGGTTAGCAGTCTGCAAAAAACTGAAACTAGATCCATGTATATCACCCTATACCAACATTAACTCAAAATGGATCAAGGATCTTAATATCAGACCACAAACTCTAAAGTTGATACAGGAAAGAGTAGGAAATACTCTAGAATTAGTAGGTATAGGTAAGAACTTTCTCAATGAAACCCCAGCAGCACAGCAACTAAGAGATAGCATAGATAAATGGGACCTCATAAAACTAAAAAGCTTCTGTTCATCAAAAGAAATGGTCTCTAAACTGAAGGGAACACCCACAGAGTGGGAGAAAATATTTGCCTATACATCAGACAAAGGACTGATAACCAGAATATATAGGGAACTTAAGAAACTAAATTCTCCCAAAACGAATGAACCAATAAAGAAATGGGCATGTGAACTAAACAGAACTTTCTCAAAAGAAGAAATTCAAATGGCCAGAAAACACATGAAAAAATGCTCACCATCTCTAGCAATAAAGGAAATGCAAATTAAAGCCATGCTAAGATTCCACCTCACCCCTGTTATACTCTCTCTACAACAAAATTAGAAATAAGGGCAAAATAGTTTCTGCTGGGTATTGAGGGGGTGGGGGGGAGAGGGAGGGGGCGGACTGGGTGGTAAGGGAGGGGGTGGGGGCAGGGGGGAGAAATGACCCAAGCCTTGTATGCACATATGAATAATAAAATTAAAAAAAAAAAAAACAGGCACCAGTGACTCACACCTGTAATCCTAGCTACTCAGGAAACAGAGATCAGAAGGATCGCAGTTCGAAGCCAGCCAAGGCAAACAGTTCACAACACCATATCTCAAAAAAAACCCTTCACCAAAAAGGGCTGCTAGAGTAGCTCAAGGTGTAGGCCCTTTGAGTTCAAATCCCAGTATCACAAAAAAAAAAAAAAATTGGAATCTGAACAAAGGCCTTCTAACTTTGAAAGCTATATAACAGAATCTATACAGGATACAATTTCATAAGCTTAAAAGCAAAATGTAGGAGCAAGGAATGTAGCTCAGTGGTAAAGCATGTGCTTATATGGACAAGGCCCTGGGTTTGATCCCAGAACACCTTCCCCCAAAAAACTCTCAAAAACAAAAAGTAATATACAGTTAAGTCTTATGTATTCATTCATTGAAATATTTACTGTGTACCTATCAGGTACCAAAGACAGGATATTTGATAAATAATGCCAAATCCAGGTACTATTCAAACTGCTAAATAAAAGCCACTATGAGCTGAGGGGCCCTGGCTGCCTGGAGCTGAGTTGTCCTGACTACAGGGGCTCAGAGAGCAAATGCCCATGTCTGACCTCACCTCTCAGCGTGTCCACAAGAATCATCTAAATGTCTGTGAGCTCAGACATATAATACAAAATAAAAATCAAGAGGAATTAATTAACTTTAGCAAGTAGAAAAGAAGACTAGTAAACCATCATCACTCTCACATTCCAAAATGGTCAAAAAATGCAAAACTTTTACATGCTGTAAGTGCTTTCTCCTCCCCTTTTTGAATAAAGGCTGCACTTAGTGACTTGTTTCTGAAGAGAACAGTACAGAAAAGAAGGTAACAGGACAGTGGAGAAGCCTGGTAAACAAAACCTCAGCCAGAAGACCAAGGGCAACATCACCAGGAGTAAGTCATGGTGATGATGTATACCCATGCTAAGTGACAAAAATAGCACTTCACATCTATGCTCTTCCTCCTCAAAACCCATAACCTCAGCTATGGGGTTAGCCATAGAAAAACATCAACCAAATTCCAACAAAACACCTGACCAGCACTCCTCCAAAATATCAAGGCCATTAAAAGCAAGGAAATTCTCAAAAGCTGTCACAGCAGAGAGGAGCCTAAGGAGACATGACAACCAGGTGACCAAGATGACCTAGGTGACCTAGACGGGATCCTGGAATAAAGAAGATGACAGAAAAGCCAGTGAAACAAATATAGGGAAGTTCAGTTCACAGAAGTAAACCAATGTTTGTTTCTTAGTTCTGAGAAGCTTTCTAAAACGTGCTACGTTTTAGAAACATGGGAGAGGGAGGAGGGACAAGAGAAAGTAACACGGTAAACATGATCAAATTCATTATATCAGTGTATGAAAATGTATGGCCCAAGTGGTAGAGCTCCTGCCTAAGAAGCTCAAGGCCCTGAATTCAAACCCCAGTACAGAAAAAAAAAATTATTGCTGAAAATATGGAAAAAGGTAACTCTTACACTTTGTTGGTATGAATGTACATTAGTACAGTCACTATGGGAAACAGGTGAGGAGGTATGAAGGTTCCTCAAAAAAATTAAAATAGAACTATTGTATGATTCTGCAATCTACTGGCTAGAAAGCCAAGGGATACAAATCAGTATGCTGAGGAGATATATGCACTCTCGTGTTCACTGCAGCATCATTCACAGTAGCCAAGATATGGAACCAACCTAAGTGTGCATCAACGGATGGATGGATAAAGAAAGGCAATGTGATTTGGAAACACAATAGGATACTATTCAGCCTTAAGAAAGAGGAAAGCCCCATCATTTGCACAACCCAATGAACCTGGAGAATGGCATGTAATGAGCAATGAGCCAGGCAGAGAAAGACAAATGCCGCATGATCTTACTTAACACGCGGAGTGTGAAAGAGCTGAATACTTACGAGCAGAGAGATAAAACAATGGTTACCAGAGGCTGGAGAACGGGAAGCTTCAAGAAGTGTTGGTCAAAGGACACAACTTTCAGTCAGACAGGGAAAATAAGTTCAAAAACTCTATTGTACACCAAAGTGACTACAGCTAATAATAATATATTGTATACTTGAAAATTGAGAAGAGATTTTATGTGCTCTCTATACAAAAAAGTGTAAGTATGTGAAGTAATGTATATGTTAAATGGCTTGATTTAACCCATTCTACAACGTATATGAGCATCAAACTCCATGTTGTACAACATAAATTATACAATTTTTACTTTTCAAATAAAAATACAAATAATTTTTTTGAAGTGCTACAAAGTAAATGTTGACCGTAGAATCTAGGATTATAAAAGGTAAATAGGTGTGGGCTATAAAATTCTTTCAACTTTTCCATTCTTTTGAAATACTGTCATTTAAGAGTTGGATAAAAAGAAATACTATACTTAATGGCCTGCCTGACATGACTTGATTTGACTATTTATGTCAGGTGAAACCAGTCAGCCACCCTACTGTAACGGAAACATGTGGTTGACACCATTTAACAAACATTCTGAATAAAAGTCAAACTCTGTTCTTTGACCCAGCAGCCCCCTTCCAGGAATGTATGTTCTAGGAAGGCACAGCTATACAGACAAGCATTCTCACTGCAGGAGGGGTGTGTGGGGTAGAAGGTCATAATCCCTATGTGGACATCTGGTGATGTCTAAGAATGTTTTTGGTTGATAGTGGAGAGGAGTAAGGGGTACTACTTGCACCAAGTGGGTTAAGGCCAGGAATAAACATTCTACAATGCACAGGCCACTCTTGCCACACAGAATTATCTAGCTGAGGCTGAGGAACAATGACCTAACACAATACACATTCACATGGACAGTTATTCACAGTAGCACTATTTGTTATAAGATCAGAAACATTAGAGATGAGCTAAAGAACAGTATCCACATGAAGGAATGATATATAACTCTAAAGAGGATATAAGGAAAACTATTCACCAATATAAAAAGATGTGAAAAGTTAGGTGAAAAAGCAAGGTTAGCACAGAATTCTATACTTTCAATAAGAAGAAACAATATTTCATAGCCACTTAGTGGGCACAAAAAATGTGGAAGGATTCCTAAGAAATTAGTAAGAGTGGTCTCCTCTTGGGGGAAGAGCTTCTGGGTAGATAGAGACAGGAAAAGGAGGAGTGAAGAAATTCTTCTTCCTTTTATCTTTTTCTTTTGTGGTGCTGTAGAGCCTCACACATGCTAGGCAAGTACTCTACCACTGAGCTACAGCCCCAGGAGGAGAAAGACATTACATTTTTATTTCTGAGTCCTCTAAATGTGTCACATGTATGAAAGCAATTTTAAATCCACTGTAACCTTCTATCAGAATGTGTTTCCCCTGCTCTTCACTGTTATGGTACAATCCTCCTCCAGGTTTAGATCAATGTACCTTAAACTAGAAAATGTAAATGTAAGCAAAACTGTATTTGAAATGAAATCACCCCCAAGTTAATTTACAACTTTACACTGACCAAAATCTTTTTTTTTCTGGTGGGACTCAGGTTTGAACTCAGGGCTTCATACTTGCAAAGCAGGTGTTCTACTGCTTGAGTCATGCCTCCAGTTTATTTTGCTCTGGTTATTTTGGAGATGAGGTCTTGCAAACTATTTGCCTATGCTGGCTTCAAATCATGATCCTGCTGATCTCAGTCTCCCAAATAACTAAGATTATAGGCCTGAACCACCACATCCTGGCAAAATCTGGTTTTTTTAGTTTTCAGCATCAACACAGTATAAAACAGAGGTATGTGTAATGTATTTATTGCACACACAGTTTATATCAATAGACCTAAGAGTTCACTTTCTTTATTCTTCTCCAACCCTCTTCCCTCCTATCTCTCTGCTCTGATTTCATATTCTAATTGGGCCTTACAACTGCAAGTGGTGAATGCAAGTTTGATCAAACACCAGAAGTCCATTTACTAAAAAGGAAACAAGGCATTCCAACATACCCCACTATGATAAACATGCCCCAAATCATTAAGATAATATTCTTCAATCGCATGAGGCTTGCCTTCCACTTCAAAAATATATGCAGGATTCATCTTGTTCTGAACAGGAACGGCAAAGTAGTCTGCAAACTCCTTGCAATTGATGGTAGCAGACATGAGGACTACCTGTGGAGAAAAGAGGTCATCCAAGTACACAGCAGTAAAAATGATCACTGGAGTAAATACTGGTTCATTCCCGTACCTACTAACTTTTGAGATTTTAGGTAGACTATCTCGATTTAATCTTGTTATTATGCAAATTATTACAATTTAAAGAATTATTTTTAAATCACATATCCCCAATAAAACTAAAGCAGAACCACTTAATCTGAAAATAGATTTTTACCAGGAAATTTAAAAAATAAGTAATTAGATAATATGTTCCAGAAAAAAGTGGGTATAAACCAGCAAAGAGGAAGACAAGAGATGCAGAAAATCTTGACTGCAACTGCAGAAAATAAAGTCATGCAGCAATAGCTGCACAGCAGCCAAAGGAGCTAGCCCAAACCAGAGCAAGGCAAAGGAGGCACCAGACTGATTGCAGTTTTCAATGCTGCCAAAAAGCAAATAGGAAATCATATCCTTAAGAAAGTTAGCCACATGGGCTGGTGGTAGAGCTCCTGCCTGGCCAGCATGAGACCCTGAATTCAACCCTTAGTATGAAAGGAAGGAAGGTAGGGAAAGAACAGAATGAAGGAGGGAGGGAAAAAGAGGAAGGAAGGAAGGAAAGGGAGGGAAGGAGGGAGGGAAGAAGGAAAGGTAGGAGGGAGGGAGAGAGGGAGGAAGAAGGAAGGAAGGAACTCAGCCAGCCATCCACACAAGCCACAGCACCTCAGTCATGCCCCAGAGACGGTGACAGCAGTACCAAGAATCTGCGTCATTCCCCCGTCTCCACAGGCTAAGTGGAGGTACACAGCTCTCTGGCTGGTGGCTATCTGCTGCATTTGGCAATTAGAAGCTCTAAGTGTAAACCTTAGCAGGAAAATCAAGACTATTTAGGCGCTGTCAGTGCATTTTTTCCCCTTGACATTGGACATAAACAAAACCCATACCAACCAGAAACTCATTTTGAGAAGAGGTGTCTGACATTACAGAATGTCCTGAAAAGCTACCTGGGGTACAAGAGTAACCCCTCCCAGGACACACCCAGTCACAGTGCATGATGCCTAATCACTGTCTAAGGAATAGTGGACCAGCCAAGTGCAGAGTTTTTATTTTGTTGAATGCAACATGCAAACAAAGAGACCAACCAGGACTTGGGCACTGCCCCCAGTGTCCCCAGGCAGCCTAACCAAAGACACCACTCATCCAGAGTGGGCCTGGGCTGGAGAACAGCAGGTGAGGACAGAGGGGGAGGTAGGACAGAGAACCCAAGGACCTCTACAAGCTTAGGTGCTTAGGTGGGAGAAGTAGGGGAGACTTTAAAGCCAGGTATTCTTGCTCCTGCATCTAAGTCCTCAGACAGCAGTGCTCTCAGAAAATCAACAAGGATTTAAAATAAACTCTACAAAAAACTTGACTTCTGAATACTTGGCCCAAATACATGTACCATTTAAGTTCTATATTTAGAAAACATGCTGCTTCATATATTTTTAATAAATCGTGAAGCTGACAAATCACTTATTACTTATTAGCTAGGTGCCACATCCTTACCACCATTTTCAGTGTGATTGTTTTTTTTTTAATCCACCAAACTCTTAACTCTCTTTATCACTGAAAACTAAAAAATATATGATCAAAGTCATTATCCTGACTTGAGTAAAAAAGAAATGTATTAAAAAGACAATCAAGAAAAGCCCTAATTTGTTGAAGAGTCTTCAATACTCTCTTGTTCATCCTACAGTTGCCTACAGCAGCAACATGACCTACTGCAAAGGTCAGGCTGCATTCATGTAGTGCCAGCATGTGAGAATATGGTCACCCTGCAGGGTAGAGGAGAAAAAACGTTTCCCTAAACAAATGAAGATTTGACTTTTAGAGGCAAAACACTTCACAATTTAGAAAGCAACTGGTTTCCAATTAACAGCAAACTCTCCAGCAATTCCATGCTATACTGATATGCATATCCCAAACAAATTGCTACCAAGGGCATACTAGGTTTATTTGTTTAGACTGCATAATTATTCTAAGTTCTTGGCTATTTTGGTATTGATGCTTTTTGTTTTATCTTTTTTGTTCAAATAAAGAAGGATATTAACCATTCCCCCACAACATGTACTTACTCTCAACCCACATTTCCAATAGCAGTTACATACACTATCCTCAAACTCCAGTGCCCTACTTCCAAAATGGGAACTGCAGGTCATTCACATGGTGACAATCCTACTTTAAACCATAGTGCTTGTTCAACCAAAAGCAGGACTCCCAGACCCAGCATTTCATTATAGTCAACTATTATTAGATCATTTTCAGCAATCTGGAGAAAGAGTTAGAATTCAATGCAATATAGTAACCAGAAAGTATTCCACACTGTGACCACAGGAGAATGCTATCAAGCATACTTCCTGGGAAGACCTGGAGTACTACACCTGAAAACAAATTTTAAGAGACTGGATCCAATTTTTCTGTTAAAATCAGGAGAAACAAGCTGGGCATGGTGGTTCACACCTGTAATTCCAGGACTTGGGAGGTTAAAGCAGGAGGATCACAAGTTTAAGGTCAGTCTAGACTACAAAGTAAGACCCTGTCTTAAAAAAGAAAAATAGGAAGAAATAAAACTAAACAATAAGTATTAACTCTAAATATTTCTGTTACTTACAAAATAAAATTTACCTTCACAAAACGTGAATTTGTTCTTAAAAGTTTTCGGACTACTAACAGCAGAAAATCCATTTCTTCAGTTCGTTCATGTACCTACAAAATAAAGAAGAAGGCACCGTCACAAAATATCAAGCAATGCATACATCACTGTGAATGAGTGGAGGACTAAACCAATTCTCTTTACTCAATGCAGCTCTTCAGAGAACCAGTCTCACGCCTGGTTAAAAAGAAGCAAGAGCATCTGCCTCAGGCCATAGGGTACTATGTGAGTCACTGTCACCACAATGCTTCTCTTTAGGGACCACTGGCATTGTCACAGAAATACTGAATTTCCTTGGCCCTGCCCACTTAATGTCCACAGTGCCTGCCCAGGTCACTATGACAATCAAGAACATCCCCATCCCTCTCAAGGACTCATGGGCCAAACTCTCTATCATGGTTAAAAGTTCACTGTTATTCTAGCAAATGCAGGAATGAAGCCAAACTAGTCTAACACTGGCATGTTCCATGATGTACAGAACTGAAGTTCAGAAGTTAGGCATGGGATAGCCCTGGAAAATTTTGGCAGGTCAAAAGCAGGTAACCAAAACAAAGTTAGGGTCTGAGGCCAAGAGGTAGAACCTCAAAAAATCCAGCAAAGGAGTACACTCTAGGAAGCAAGAAGATGCAGACCAAATTGCTCAAGGCTTATGGCTGCTCCACCCTCCCCACTTTCTAGAAGCAGTCAGGGGCAAAGGGACCTTATTCCTTCCTTTTTTTTTTTTTTGCAGCGCTGGGGTTTGAGCTCAGGGCCTACACCTTGAGCCTCTCCATCAGCCTTTTTTTTGTGATGGGCTTTTTCAAGATAGGGTCTCATGCACTATTTGCTGGGGCTGGCTTCGAACCTCAATCCTCCTAATCTCTGCCTCCTGAGTAGCTAGGATTATAGGCGTGAGATCCTGGTATCCAGCAAAGAGACACTTTTCTAAAAGAACCCAGTTACACTACACTTGGTCAGGATACCTCAGTGTACAAGGGGACAGTAAGATTCAACATCTCCCTGCCAAAGCAGAGACAGCCACTGAGTTTGAACAATGAAGTCCTCTCCTCAGGGTAAAGGCCTGATGCTGTATTCCATGCAGCTAATTATACTGCAGGCCTTTCTGTTAGCCTCACTTCCCACAGAGCAGACATACCCAGTCATATAGAAAAAAGAAGAGATCACAAGCTGGAAGGTATTCGATGTTCATGTACAACCGCTAGCAATTCTCAGAAAACACCATGAAATCTCATTCTTATCTCACCCCATCACCAACTCAAGACACCTCCTCAACCTACATCTCCTTCTCTTCCCTAAAAAAGAAAATCAAGGCTATCACTAGTGAAGGGCCCTGAGAAAGCATGATCTCTCCTCAGCTTTTAGGCCCTACATCCTTACTTAAGAATTACAGCCTCTCCTCTAAATTTCCTTGAGTCCAGCCCTTTCAATTCTTCTGTCCACAGGACCCCAGTCCCTTCCTGCTACAAGCCTTTCCTTAGCACAAACGCACACCTCAGCAGACGCCAGTTTCTCTGGGTAGGCAAGAAGGGCTAAGAGCAGAAACTATGACTTAATTGTCTTTACAGGTACCCAAAAAGGCATCACTTTCACAGGAAGTACTTGAAAAAATGTTCACTGAATGAATGATATGCCTGAAGTTAGCTTATTCTTTTTCAAAAGCTGAGAAGCCAAAATACTTACTTCATTTTTAACTGCCTGGCTATCTTCAACCTTAGGTTTTACATTTCTTTTGAAATTAAAATTATCCCAGAGAACATGAACAGAACTATCTGTAAACATAAAACCTCAGGTATACCAATCATTCATTCCTGGATGCAGGGGATTCAGTGGCAGGTCATGTACCATGGGGGAGAAGAGGGGCAATACAACTGTATAGCTCCTAGCCACTCCCATTGCAGGGAAGCTTTGCAAAGTAGTCAATTTCTATCCAACCTTTAAGAAAGAATGAAGTCTATAATGCATTATAAATGTGCTTTCAGTAATAACTCTGAGTGTTAATGGTCTCAATTCTTTAATCAAAAGGCACAGACTGTCAGACGGGTTAAAGAACAAGGCCCAACCATTTGTTGCCTACAGGAAAAGTACCCCACTGACAAACACAAACACAAACTGAAAGGATGTATAAAAGGGTAGGAAAAGATTTTCCAAGCAAACACAGCCTGAAAGCAAGCATGAGTAGCTATAGTCATATCGAACAAAGCAGACTTCAAACCAAATTTAGTCAGAAGAGACAAAGAAGGTTGCTTCATATTGATGAAGGGAACAATCCATCAGGAGAATATAAGAATTATAAGCATATATGCTCTGAATGTCAGTGTACCCAATTTCATAAAGGAAACACTATTGGACATAAAAATTCAGATAGACTGAAACACAATAATAGTGAGTGACTTTAGTACCTCATTCTAACCGGCAGGTCATCCAGACAAAAAAATCAGTAAGGAAATTTCAGAATTAAACAACACCATAGATCAAACGGACTTAACAGACATCTGCAGAATATTCTTCCCAAAAGCCATGGAATACACATTCTTTTCAGTAGCCATGGAAATTTTTCTGAAACAGATCATATCTTTGGACATAAAGCAACTCTTAAAAAATACAAGAAAACTGAAATAATTTCCTGTATTATATCAGACCACAATGGAATAAAACTAGAACAAGAGAAACTACAGAAAATATTCAAACACATGGAGACTGAACAATTCACTTTTGAAAGATCAGTGGGGTCACTGAAGAAATGAAGGGAGAAATAATTATTTGATTCAAGTAAAAATGAAAACACAACTTACCAGACTTTTGGGGCACAGCAAAAGCACTGATAAAAGGGAAGTTTATAGCTATGAGTGCCTACATTAAAAAATCAGAGCGATTCCAAATAAATAGCCTAATGATGCACCTCAAGCCCTTAGAACAGCAAGAACAAGCCAAACCCAATAAAAGCGGTAGACAAAAAGAAATAATAAAGATCAGGACAGAAATTAACAAGACAGAGACTAATTTTAAAACCAATGAAACAAAAAGCTGGTTCTTCAAAACAATAGAAACAATTGATAATTTTTAGCCAAACTAACAAAAAAAGAGGGAGAAGACAGAAATTAATACAAAGGAAGTATCACAACAAATATCAATGAAAACTTAGAGGAGCATTAGGGAATACTTTAAAAACCTATATTCTAATAGACTGAGAAATATTAGAAAAATGGATGAATTTATAGATACATATGACTACCAAAATAATCAGAATTTAAAACACCTAAGCAGATCTATAATAAACAATGAAATTAAAGCAATTAATAGTCTTCCTCCCGACCTCCCCCCCCAAAAAAAAGCCTAGGATTGGACAGATTCACACCTCAATTCTGAATTCTACCAGACATTTAAAGAAAAACTAACACCAAATGACTCCATAAAATAGAAAGGGAAGGAATACTACCAAACTTATTCTATAAAGGACTGGAGGTGTAGCTCAAGGTGTTGAGTAACTACTTTGCAAGTATGAAGACCTGAGTTCAAACCCCAGTCCCACCAAAAAAAAAAGGCAAAGGGAATTTTTAGGACTGGTGGAATCGCTCAAGTGGTAGAGTGCTTGCCTAGCAAACATGAGGCCTTGAGTTCAAACTCCAGTGCCGCCAAAATTTTAAAAATATTGTCAAACTTATTCTTTGAAGCTAGTATTAATCCTGTGCCAAAACCCTATAAGGACACAATAAAAAAAAAGAAAATTATGGACCAATTTTCCTGACGAATATATATGTAAATATCCTAAATAAAACAACATTAAAAAATCATAAACCATGATCAAGTTGATTTCATTCCAGGGATGCAAGCATGGTTCAATATATGCAAATCAATAAATGTAATATACCACATAAACAGAATCAAGGACAAAAAATCACATGATCATCTCAATAGATGCAGAAAAAGCCTTTGACAAAATTCAATAGCCTTTCATGATAAAAGCTCTGAAGAAATTAGGAATAGAAGGCACATTCCTCAACATTATGAAGACTATATATGACAAATTTATAACCAACATTGCACTAAATGGGGGAAAAACTGAAATCATTTCTTCTAAAGACAGGAACAAGACAAGGGTGTCCACTCTCTCCAGTCTTACTCAATAAAGTACTGTAATTCCTAGCCAAAGCAATAAGGCAAGAGAAAGAAATAAAAGGGATTCAAATGGGAAAGTCGTCAAATTATCCCTACTTGCTGACTATATGATCCTATACTTAAAAGACCCTAAACACTCCTCCAAAAACTCCTAGATTTGATGAACACTTTCAGCAATGTAGCAGGTTAAAAAATTAACAAAAATCAGTAGCTTTCCTATATGCCAACAAGGAACACACTGAGAAAGAAACCAGGGGAAAGAAATGACCCAAACAATGTACACACATGTGAATAAATGAATAATAAAAAAATTTTTAAAAAAAGAAACCAGGAACAGCCTCAAAAAAAAAAAAACCTAAGAATAAATGTAAGGAAGTGAAAGACCCCTACAATAAAAACTATAAAACCCTGAAAAAAGAAATTGAAGACACCAGGGGATGGAAAGACCCCTTATGTTTATGGATTGGCAGAATTAATATTGTGAAAATAGATTCATTACAAAAAGCAATCTACAGATTCCATGCCCAATGTCATTCTTCACAGAAATACAAAAGTCAATCCTAAAACTCAAGGGACATAGAAGATCCCAAATGGCAGAAATCCTAAAACTCAAGGGAACATAGAAGATCCCAAATGGCAGAAATATTCCTGAGCAAAAGGGCAGTGCAGGAGATACTATAATACCAGCCTTCGAATTATACCACAGCGCCACAGTATCAAAAACAGCTACTGGCATAAAAACAGACCTGAGACCAACGAGGTTAAAAAAAAGACCCAAAAATAAGCTATAGCCATCTGATTTTTACAAAGGAACCCAAAACACACATTGGAAGAAAGACATCCTCTTCAACAAGTGGTACTGATTACCCACACATAAAAGACAGAAAATAGAACCTATCTCCCACCCTATACAAAAATCAAATCAAAATGGATCAAAGATCTTAATGAAAGACTTCAAATTTTGAAACTACTACAAGAAAACATAGGGAAAACCCTGGACGATACAGACACAGGCAATTATTTTCTGAATAGGAGTTCCAATTGCCCAGGAAATAAGAGCAGGAATTGACAAGTGAGATTGCATCAAATTAAAGTTTCTGGGAGTGGCAGAGGGTTCAAGTTGTACAGTGCCTGCCTAGCAAGCATGATGCCGAGTTCAAACCCCAGTACCACAAAATAAATAAAAGCTTCTGCATGTAAAAAAAGAGACAATTATCAGAATCAAGAGACAACCCATAGAATGGGAGATAATCTTTTCCAGCTATTCAATGGATAAAGGGTTAATATCCAGAATATGTAAAGAGGTAAAAAATTAAACACCAAAAAGAATAATTCAATAAATATGCAACTGAATTGAGCAGATAATTCTTAGAAGTAGTAGTGCAAATGGCTAATAGATGAAGAAATGTTCATAAAGGAACTGCAAATCAAAACTACACTGAGATTCCATCTTACCCAAGTTAGAATATCAATCACTAAGAAACAAACAACAACAGATGCTGGTGAGAATGTGGGAGGAAAGGGACTCTCATAAACTGCTGATGGGAATGTAAACCATACGAAAATCAGTAATGGAGGATCACCAATAAGCTAAAAACAGATCTACATTATGGCCTAGCCATACCACTCCACTCTTGGGCATCTATCTGAAGAATGTAAGTCAACATATAAAAGAGATGTCTGTACACCTATGTTTTTTTGCTTTTGATTTTGGCAGTACTGGGGTTTGAATTCAGGGCCTCACACTTGCCAGGCAGGTGCTCTACCACTTGAGCCACTCTGCCAGCATGTACACCCATGTTTTTCACAGCACTATTCCTGGACTATGGAATCAGTCCAGGTGCCCCTCAACTAATGAATGGATACAGTGAATACAGAATACAGGATAAATACAGAATATGGCTAAAGTGGTAGTGTGCCTGACTAAAAAATGTGGTATATTTACACAATGGACTATTATTCAACCACAAAGAACAATGAAATAAAATCATTTCGAGGAAAACAGATGGAAATAGAGATCATCACATTAAGTGAAATAACCCAAACTAAGACAAATACAGCATGTTCTATCTCTTATGCAGAATCTAGACCTTAAAAAATGGATGACAGTAGTGTAAAATGGGGACTGTTTGGGAGTGGGACCTAGCAGGAGGAGGGAGGGTAAAAGGAGATGGTGAAGAGGGGTCAATATGATTGAAGTGCTTTATACATGTGTATGAAAGCAGAATAATGAAACCTATTAAGATTATTTAAAAAGGAAGAGGATGAGAAAGAGAAATAGAGGGGGTGAATTTGATCAAAGTACTTCGTATGCGTGTATGGAAATATCACAATGAAACCCTTCGCACAATACACACTAATAAAAATATTTAAAAAACAGAAGAAAGCAAGCTGAGACAGGCACAAAGACAGGGTTTACAATATTTTATCAGAAACTTTTCTTTTGGTGGTACTGGGGTTTGAACTCAAGGCCTTGTGCTTGCCACAGTTCAAGTGGGTTACCACTTGAGCCACATCCTCAGCCCTTTTGTGCTTTAGGTTTTAGGCATTTTTTGAATAGGATCTTGAATTAATGCCTGAGTGTGCCTGGATGGTGATCCTCCTATTTATACTTCCGCAGGGGCTAGGGTAACAGGTGTGCACCACCACACCAGCATTTATTGAGATGCCGGGTCTCATAAACTTTTTGTTGGGCTGGCTTCAAACTGTGATCATCCCTATCTCCACCTCTTGAATAGCTCTGATTACAGATTTAAGTCACCTCACCCAGCTTTATTAGAAGCTGTGTGTGTGTGTGTGTGTGTGTGTGTGTGTGTGTGTGTGTGTTTGTGTGTGTATGGCACTGGGTCCTGAACTTGGGGCCTCACACTTGCTAGGCATGCACTTTTAACACTTGAGCCATTCTACCAGCCCTATTAGAGGCTTTTTAAAGAAAGGTAAATACATTAAAATCTTGTTTATGTTATTGAATTTTTTTCTCCTTGTGATGTTAGGGATCAAATTCAGGGCCTTGAACATGCTATGTAAGCACTCAACCACTGAGCTATACCCCTGGCCCAATTTTTTAAAAAACTATTGTTGCCCTTGATTTACTAAAGAAAAAGTTCTGTGGCTGGCTGAAAACATCTATACACAATGAAAGTTCTTGTAACTCTCTGAGTCTCCATCAGGGGCTTTCCACCCTCCCTGAAGAAGGTCAAATGGCCCATGGTATTTCTGAACAACTACTCTAGTTCTACAAGTGTACAGGCCAAAGGCCCTAGACAGTAAATAAACAAGCCAAAGAAACTGCTCCAATAAAACCAGCCTTACAAAAGGAGATGCCAGATCTGATCAATAGCTGCAGCCTGCCAATCAATCTCTGCTCTAAATAAAGTATCTTTTCATAGGCCTCAACATCCCACCCATATTTTGAGACAAAGAACAAAGAATAAAATCAAAATTCACAACCACAAGCAGAAAGGGCAGATGTAGACCCAAAGTACCTGGTGACCCATTTCAAGAGGATACAGGCACCCACATGTAAACAGGGACCCACACAGAAGGGCAGAGTACTCACTTCGTCGATGAAGACATGTGTGAATTCCATCAAACTCTTGGCACTTACAATTTTCTGAAGCAGGACTCCAGTGGTCATATAAATTAGCTTGGTGTCTTCTGTTGCTATTTTCTCTAGCCCTACCTAAAATTGGGGAAGGAAAAGGTTTAAATGGCTCCAATTTTACCACCAAAAGTGGGTATGCCCATTTTATAATGGAGGTAACAAAGGGAATAAAAAATTATTGTACTTCAGAAATATATAAACATATAAGGCCAAATCCCAGTACTGCCAAAAAAAAAAAAAAGATCTATGTGTGTGTGTTAAGATGTGCTCAAACTGCTTTTGCTAAAAAGCATGGATTCGTACTCAGGCCCATGAATTAACTAAAAGCAGGAGAAAAGTATGGCATCTCTCCTTCATTTTGTATCTGTTTTGCTCTAAGCCATTTTCTTTGCAGTTACTTTGCGATCACCTCGGATTCCAGAAAGGACAGAATAATAACATCTTCATGACAAGGGGCTGAAAATACCCTCAACAGTAGAGCTGCCTCAGGATGGACCACCCTCCAGATGGAACCTCTTCCAGAACAAGGACTGAGATAATGACCAACCAAACCACACCTGTGACTAGAACTATTTAACTATGTATACCTTACCTCTCTCCCCCTGCTCCCAGTTCTTTGTCTATTGAAACTTGCAGATCATGTTTGTACCCAAAAGTTTGCTGAAGATGGGCTAAGTGCTTACTTTGCCTCTTCCAAGCCATGTAATAAATCTCCTTTCTCTGCCTTCACCATGCCTCTTTATTGGGTGTACAGGGGCAAGTAGCTGGCTTGTGGAATCCCAGGAGCTTGGGCCTTGGGTACAAAACTTTATATATACATATATATATATATATATATATATATATATATATATATATATATATTCCAAATTAAAAGTCTCAAGTTAATTTCTTTCTTCTCTTTTGGATGGAGACTAGCTTATCTAGTTATACTGCCTACAACATTTTCATATTTCAACAACTCTGTTTGCAGACACCTTCTAGAATACAAAGGTATAATTAAAGGTATAAAATTATAAAATCTATGAGCCTAAGAATTATCATTTCTTTTTATTTGACTGGGAAATAAATTTGTTTTCAAGAAATTCAGTTTCAAGGCCAGGCTCATTGACTCACACCTGTAATCCTAGCTACTTGAGAGGGAGAGATTGGGAAGGTTGCAGTCAAGGACAGCCCAGGCAAAAAACTGGCAAGAGCCCACCTCAATCAATAAGCTAGGTATAGTGGTGCACACTGGGACTCCAACTACACAAGTGGCTATAGGTAGAAGGATCATGGTCTGAGGCCAGTCAGGGAAGAAAGTAAGACTCCATCTGAAAAACAACCTAAAGCAAAAAGGGCTGGAGGTGTGCCTCAGTGGTAGAGCACTTGCTGTAAGCTCAAGGCCCTGAGTTCAAATCCCAGTACTACACACACACACAAAAAAAGAAATTGTTTCACTAGTTTTTAAAACAATGCCAGTTCTGCTCTAAAGTAAACGGTTTCATTTTAATTTCCAATACAAAATAATCATGTTCTAACATCAAGTTACATAGAATAAAAAATTAACAAAGAGAGAAAGGTTTGCTTTCTCTTTCTTCTCCATCTCACCTGATAGCCCACCAAGCCACCCAGAGTCCAAGAGCGCTCTTTACTGATCCACCTAGCAATGCTGCTGGCCCCTATTTTCCGTGGCTGGGTAACCACAATGTTGCAGTAGGTACAGCGCTGAGCATAATGGTCCAAGATATACTGTGGAAGTTGAGTACTCTTACCACTTCCTGTGGCGCCATGTATAATTACTACAGAATTGCTTTCTATCAAAGAAATAACCTGGAATTTTAAAAGAAAAATATCTTTCAAAATTGGCATAAAACTGACAACAATGTAAAGTATTATCTATCTCAAGAAGACTTTCAGGGTTTATTTCCCTTTAAGTTAAATTACTAATTAGCCATGTAAGCATCACAAAACAGCAAGAATACTATCAGTGGTTGCCACTTTTAAAGCCAATTCTACTATAACTGTTATTAACAGTTATAGCTCAATAGCTAGAAAATCAGGCCAAGGCAACTTCAGCTCTCAAAATCTTAATTTCTTCTACAAAAATAAAAATATCAAAGTGGATTTCTATAGCTTTAAATCTAAATTTCTTCTATTTCAAATTTTTGTAATGAAACTGCATGCAGTTCTATTGAAAATAGAGCTGTTGTTATCATACTCAAGTTGCTTTTAAATTTCATTTTACATTCTTCAGATGAATTTTTAAATAATTAACTTCTACTTTTGCACTTACAGATTATACAGAATACTCTAAAACTTCACCCAATTCCTATCCCAGATTTCCCTACCTCCACTCTAAACTTATTTAAGCTATCTTATCCTTCTAGCAACTGATATGGTCAGAAAACATCAATTAATTTGAATACTAATGTACCTAAAAACTAATTAAAATACAGCTACTCTGTAAAAGTTACAGGATTCAATTTTAAAAATGAAAATGAAACTTGGAACATTTCCCATTCTAGTGCTTTTCCACTAGTATAGTTAAAAAAGGTTTTAACACTGTTACTTTTAACCATGGTTACTAACATGTAACTGATAAGAAACTTAACCATCCTACTGCTAGATCTGGACTGGCATTGGCAATGCAATGATGTGTTAACAATTAGATCAATCAATGAGTAGAAAGTAGGCAACACCGCAAGGAAAGTCCCATGGAGATGCTGGGGCATGCTCTCTCTTTATAACAAGCCCTCTCAGTGAGTTTCTTAATAAGTAGCTCTGTTGGTAAGGGATAACCACTTACTGACAGACACTGCAGAGGTAGGAAAGGATAGGCAGTAAGCCCAGTACCAGGAGATGTGATCATTGGGAAGCTACATACATTAAATTTGGATAGAAGCTAACCTAGGTCAAAACAAAGATCAGCAGTGGTCATCGCACAAGCAGAGCCAGGGACCAACCTCCCCTGTGTCCGCAGCAGAGCCTTGCTCACTTGATAGCTTTCACATTGTAAACCAGTAGTGCTGGGCTTCAACATTTATTCAAACAGCAAAATTACATTATGACAAAAATAACTTTACCTCTTCCTTACATCGATTTATTGGCAAATCAGGATATTTATAAGTTGTCTCTGGAATGCATGTCACATTGCTTAACTTAGCCAAAGGTGGCCTTGGACCTGGATTCAGACAAAACAAACAAATACAATGCTATATCTTATCTGAAAAAAAAAAAAGTACATAAGACATACATACAAAAAGCCATCTTCTGCGGGCTAATACTGCCAGTAGGCTCATTAGAAACTCCCCCTTGATAATCCACTATTAGTAATGCAGACAAGCAAAGTAGGAGGTTCGTGTCCTTCCATCCAGTCACCAACACTATCGACTTTCACTGCCTCCTAAGGTAACAGACCTGCGAAATGACACTTGTCATGTGATTAAATGGTGCTAACACGCAATTTCAATAAAATGCACCAATTTCTTACGTGTGCATTCCTTACTACTAAAATAAATCGATAATGGTAATAACTAAAAAAAACACAACTCACAAACTAAAGGCATGGTGAAAAGGGGAAACTTTACTCTGCTAAAATGCTAGAAAGAGTAATGGGGAGAATATGATCAAAGCAAATTATATGCATGTATGGAAATATCACAAAGAAACCCCTTTGTATAGTTAATATATACTAATAAAATAGTGAACCAAAAAAAATGCTTAATTTGTTGTCTGGTCCTACTTCTTGTAAATCTGTACACTGCTCTGGCTGCCCTGTAAATCCTAAGCAGCCTCTGCCACCACATGACAAACTGAGGAGGAATCAAAGTTCACGGGATGTGGCTTTCACTGGAAAGGAAGCAGCATTTCCAAGACAAATAAACCCACAAGTCTTCCCGCCTCTCTCCCAAATCACTTCCTTCTCTGGATACCTTTTCCCCCATGGTTCCCTTTCCCTCTCTCTCCTCACTCTTCTTTTTTGTCCCAGCAGTCCTTTCCTGCCATTGTTCCAACTGCTAAACATATGGCCAAACTCTTCTTTCATAATTGGTCTAATAATATATAACTGAAACGTGGTTATTTTCCTACATATTTTTTTTCTTTTGTGGTGCTAGAGATTAAACCCCAGGCCTTGTGCCTCACGTATATGTGTACGTGTATATGTACATGTATATATGTATATATGGTGCTTAGGATTGATCCCAGGAACTCCAGCATGCTAGAGAAACACTCTCCTGCTGGGCCATACCCCACCCCCTTCTTTCCTGTATCTGAATCATGGTGTGTGGTACTTGTTCTCAATCTCACAGTCAGAGGAGCCAGATGTGCTGTAATCTCTCTGTGAAAACCACTCCTCTGTGGGAAAGAGCTCTTCCTGAGGCATTCCTGACTCAAATCCAGCTTCACTCATCCTCAAGACTTCTGATCAACCTCCTACCTACTGCCAGGCTCCCCAAAACTGAAATAGGGATTTCTTCTCACAATCTCACTTCACTCTCTCCATCCTGCCTCCCAGCTTGCTTTCCCAAGTGGTGTGCCCTAGGCCTTGAGAACACAATCAGTAAAGGGAAGGGGCAGAGGGACAGGTGAGCAACTGGGAATAGAGTGGGAATGAGAGGCTTAGGGAAGAGCTATCTAAGGGAAGAGAATGAGGATTCTTTTCTTTCAGGGAGACAAAAAGGAGACAGCTATCTCTTTTTGCTAAGAGACTTTAAGCCCTGTTTCCCAGTGCTGCTAAACGAGCCCTGTTAATCTGACAGTATTGATGTGACTTACATGACTTGATAACTTGATTTTGAAGGTTGCTACATAATGACACAAATTTTACAAGAAAAAAAAATGTCAAAAGCCCTTACCATACTGTCTAAGATACAGCCCTGTCCACGCAGCACAAAACACCACTTGACGTTTTTAGGTCACTGGCTGAAGCAGACCCAGCACAGATGAAGCCCTGCCTCCATGTCCACTGCCCCAGGGTGGACACGAAAGCAAACAGCAAAGATGGTCACAGCTGTGTGGGTCTGTCAGCTTTGTATTTACCACAAAGTAAAAGGAAAAACATCAGAGATAACTTAAGGCAAATCAACAAACTACATATGAAGTCCAAAAATGGCAAGAAAAATACAACCTCAAAATCTGCTCTTCTCATTTTTCCATTGTCTCTTTATCATTACTAAAATACTTTATATGAACCGGGAAAGACCAGATATTATAAAAATAGCTAGTTCTCTTCACTAAGCCACCACACCACATCTAACCCAAAGGTTATGTAATTAGAGGTTCCAAACAATGTATAACAGATTTTAATGGTTGAGTAGTATGCCTGCTCATATGGAGAACATAACACACTTTCTTATCTTAAAATCTAGGCATTCTCCACACAGAAATTAAGCTAAATTACTGCAGTTCTAACTTAACCATAAAATTAAATCTTTAAATAGATAATTATATCTCACTTTCTCCAAGAATGGGATGGTATTCTGCATGTAAAACTAACCTTCACTTCAAAGGGCAGGGCTGTTTTCCTTCTCAGACATTCCAGAGGCCATTCTCTCACAGATTCAGAAGAAAAGCTAGGGGGGGAAGAAAACCACCTCTAAAAACATCCCAAACTTGAAAGGAAGCAACAACTGTGGAGTCCATCACCACCCAGGACAAGTTCAAAACTGTCATGTGAAAACACAAGAGTCCTGAGGAGGCCACACCCTGGAGCTAGGCTCTGTGGTTAGGAAAGACTCTACTTTTCAATGCTATTCAGTCTCCATCTCTAAGAAATGATTTACTTTAACTGCAAAAAAGAACTCTAATATAATCTATAGAAATGCACTGATATGTATCCTTGAATTTCTAATTAGAAAAAAAATAATACAAGTGAAATAGCACTTGTAACACACCAAAATTAACAGTATTTTGAACCAACATAATGTATATAACAAAATGTTCGTGTTGAAGCCCGTGGTCTCAATGAGAGGTATCTGAGTGCCCTCATGGTTTTATATAAAGAGACACAGAGTTAGAAACAGCTTTGTGTTCATGTGTGTATACATACACATATGCACTTATATACGGGGTTCCAACTGAACCAGGTCAGCTCGCTCCTCCTAGCTGCTCTACTCTGATCCCTCTGATCTTTTTATTTATTTATTTATTTTGATTGGGGTTTCAACTCAGGCACCCTTATCACTTGAGCCACTCTGCCAGCCCTGATCTATTCTTAAAAATACCAGCAGAGTGCTCTTCTCCAAACAAACCTCTCATGTGACACCTCTCTTCCCTTCACACTCATCCCAAGAATAACCTGGAACATTCAATAGCTTCCCACTACTCTTTGAGTATTAAGACCAAGATTCTTAGCCATAATAACAGACCCTTATCATTGGGCCTTCTGCTCTCACCCCACCTCACCCAGTGCAGCTGTATGAATTTCCTGCAGCTACTGTAACATGTTTCCACACATTTAGGGGAAACAACACACATTTATTCTCCCACAGTTCTGGAGGTCAGAGTCCAAAATCAGTTTCAATGGCTGTGATTAATGTATCAGCACTGTTCCTTCCAGGGCTCTTTGGTGAGGAATCCAGTCCCTTGCCTTCTTATCTTGTAGAAGCAGCCCACATTCCTTAGCTCATGGTCCTTTCTCACATTACTCCAATCTAGGTTCTGATCCTCCTGCTCCCCTCTTATAAAAATATGTGACTGCACTGGGCCCACCTGGAAAATCTTCCCACCTAGAAATCCTTTACTCACATTTGTGAAATCCCATTTACTATGAAGATAACACATTCAAAGTTCTGAGGAATAGTACACGGACTTCTTCCAGGGTGTACTATACAGCTGGCAGCCCTGCCACACCCATCTCTACTGCCCAGCAATACAAGCAATTCCCTCAGGATTGGACACCAGGCTTTCTCCCACCAAAAGGCCTCTATGCACATTTCCCCCCACCCTGATCCCCACTCTGCCCTCTAACGTACTCACCCTCCTACTCTAAGCTAGCTGTCACTTTCCTGATACACCCATTTTATGCCCCCTAGAGCTATCTTTCAGAATACTAATCTCCAAAAGCATTTACTTGCATAACAGTATGACCAAATGGTAAGTTCTGTAAGTGGTGGCCCAGGTCTCTTTTACTTAAATTCTTGTTGCTTCAAATAGCCCCTGGTGCGCGCACACACACGCACACACTTTGATAACTACCAGTAGCTGGATGACTCCTATACTTGTAGCAGAAGCCTAAGCTTGGGTGACAGCCTAGTGAAAAGTTTCAAATATATTATGACACAGGAAAAAAAAAAGTGAAGAACAGCTTCAAATATGAAATTAAATCAAAAGTTACAACAGACACTCTGAATTGCAGGCATCTGTAATGTAGCTATTTCCAAATGGTGGCAATCCCAGATGGCATGCTTCAGGATCAGCATGCAGCATGTGCTGGGCTGTGTGAGTGCCCTAGGCCCACATGGGTGTTAGAGGACATATTGATCACATCACATAGAGTCATCTGTAAATTAACCAGCATGCTTCCCCAAAACTGAAGTATTAAGATGACAGACGTCTTTCCACAGCAACACATACGGCTATTCTATGCCCCCATTGAAGCTGCAGGGTACCTCACATACAGGCAGTCATTCTTCTGCTCAATGACATTTAACATACTTCCAACACTTCCAATAAATAAGCAATGGTGCAATAAATATTCTCATATGAATAGCTTTGTATTTTTCTTAGCCTAAGTAGAAAGTGCATGTATTTTCAATTATCACTTCTGGTAATAAGGCACTGAGTTGTTCAGACAAATCTCTTTCCTAATGCAACTAAAGATGCCAGGTTTTCACCTATTTCCCCCATATCCAAACATCCTAAAGGCACTGAAATTATGAGACAGTGGTGAAATACCAGTAATGCAAGAACACAGACAGGAAGGCAAAGGACTCCACAGGTGCTTCTGCCTTAAGGTGAAAAACAAATGACAAATTAACTAGAATAAAGCAGAGCTACCAAAAAAATTTTTTTAAAAACACAATGTCTCAGAATTTTCCAGGGCTGATGAAAGATACCAATACACTGTCAATAAGCCCAAATAAATACCAAGAATAAGAATTAATACAGAGGCTGGCAGAGTGGCTCAAGTGGTATTGTAACTGCCTAGCAAGCATGAGACCTGAGTTTAAACCTCAATACTGAAAAAAAATATTAATACAGTATTATTGTACATGTACTGCTTCATAATTACTAAGAAGGCCAAAAATGAACAGGAAAATGTTATTCTAACCCAAACTTCTGTTCTTTAGGCAGAGCATAGGTGCACAGGAAGAAGTGGCAGAAGTTCTGGGAAGAGGTGTAATGGACAAATTCTTTGAAAGGCAAAAAGCTCAAAGGGTACTTCTTATCATGTGAACAGGCCCTGACACTAGGAAGATAATTTTAGTTATCCAACCTATAATACACTCTTCCCAAGAAACATCCTGAATTAACAACCAACAGGGATTCCTTTCATTGACCAAAATACTGTACTTCTTAAAACTTTTTAGAATGTGTTTTAATATGTGAACCACTCACATATCATATTTAAGATATTTATAGATACCCTGTTTACCTGGCCCATTGGTTGTTTGATCACTGCCATACATATCAAACTCTTGTGCTTCAAGTTGCCTGTATTTGTTAATATACTCCATTTCTGAGCTCCTCTGGCTGAGTGACCTAAAAAGAATAGTAAAATTTGGCATGTTATTTCCAAAAAGGCACCAAACCTCTGCGTACCAAAGGAGTTCCTGAATCATTATTTTAAATCATGGGGAAAATGTTAATAACCAATAAGCAAATGAAAATATGCTCAAATTCAAATTACAAAATATAGGCAAATTAAAACAAGAAGGAACTAGCCCCTGGCGCACGCACGCACACGCACACACTTTGGTGTACAATCACTTATCCTAATGTACAACCTACAGCATCTTCCAAAACCTAACCCACAGCTCTCCTACAGCCTTCACATCTTCCTCAGTGTGGACACACACATATAAACAAAGACACATTCACAGACACACTCATTCAGCAAGTATTTACAGACCACCTGCTACATGCAGCACTGTCTTAGACTCTAGGGTGAGCACAACAAACAAAGCTGTATCTGCGCCCTCATGAAAATGCATTCTAATAAATGTAAGTAAAATGCTGACTAGTGACGTGGAGAAAAACAAAACTGGGTAAGGCTATAAAGAATTCCAGGGAGAATTCCTAGCCAGAGCAATTAGGCAAGAAGAAGGAATAAAAGGAATACAAATAGGTAAAGAAACTGTCAAAATATCCCTATTTGCAGACGACATGATCCTATACCTTAAAGACCCAAAAAACTCTACTCAGAAGCTTCTAGACATCATCAATAGCTATAGCAAGGTAGCAGGATATAAAATCAACATAGAAAAATCATTAGCATTTCTATACACTAATAATGAACAAACTGAAAAAGAATATATGAAAACAATTCCATTTACAATAGCCTCAAAAAAAATCAAATACCTAGGTGTAAACCTAACAAAAGATGTGAATGACCTCTACAAGGAAAACTATACACTTCTGAAGAAAGAGATTGAGGAAGACTATAGAAAGTGGAGAGATCTCCCATGCTCATGGATTGGTAGAATCAACATAGTAAAAATGTCGATACTCCCCAAAGTAATCTACATGTTTAATGCAATTCCCATCAAAATTCCAATGACATTCATTAAAGAGATTGAAAAATCTACTGTTAAATTTATATGGAAACACAAGAGGCCACGAATAGCCAAGGCAATACTCAGTCAAAAGAACAATGCAGGAGGTATCACAATACCTGACTTCAAACTATATTACAAAGCAAGAACAATAAAAACAGCATGGTACTGGCACAAAAGACATGAACATAGAAGATCCAGATATGAAGCCACACAACTATGAGCAACTTATCTTTGACAAAGGAGCTAAAAATATACGATGGAGAAATAGCAGCCTCTTCAACAAAAACTGCTGGGAAAACTGGTTAGCAGTCTGCAAAAAACTGAAACTAGATCCATGTATATCACCCTATACCAAGATTAACTCAAAATGGATCAAGGATCTTAATATCAGACCCCAAACTCTTAAGTTGATACAAGAAAGAGTAGGAAATACTCTGGAGTTAGTAGGTATAGGTAAGAACTTTCTCAATGAAACCCCAGCAGCACAGCAACTAAGAGATAGCATAGATAAATGGGACCTCATAAAACTAAAAAGCTTCTGTTCATCAAAAAAATGGTCTCTAAACTGAAGAGAACACCCACAGAGTGGGAGAAAATATTTGCCAACTATACATCAGACAAAGGACTGATAACCAGAATATATAGGGAACTTAAAAAACTAAATTCTCCCAAAACTAATGAACCAATAAAGAAATGGGCATGTGAACTAAACAGAACTTTCTCAAAAGAAGAAATTCAAATGGCCAGAAAACACATGAAAAAATGCTCACCATCTCTAGCAATAAAGGAAATGCAAATTAAAACCACGCTAAGATTCCACCTCACCCCTGTTAGAATAGCCATCATCAGCAACACCACCAACAACAGGTGTTGGCGAGGATGCGGGGAAAAAGGAACCCTCTTACACTGTTGGTGGGAATGTAGACTAGTACAACCACTCTGGAAAAAAATTTGGAGGCTACTTAAAAAGCTGGACATCGATCTACCATTTGATCCAGCAATACCACTCTTGGGGATATACCCAAAAGACTGTTACTCCAGAGGCACCTGCACATCCATGTTTATTGCGGCACTATTCACAATAGCCAAGTTATGGAAACAGCCAAGATGCCCACACTGACGAATGGATTAAGAAAATGTGGTATCTATACACAATGGAATTTTATGCAGCCATGAAGAAGAACGAAATGTTATCATTCGCTGGTAAATGGATGGAATTGGAGAACATCATTCTGAGTGAGGTTAGCCTGGCTCAAAAACCAAAAATCGTATGTTCTCCCTCATATGTGGACATTAGATCAAGGGCAAACACAACAAGGGGATTGGACTATGAGCACATGATAAAAGCGAGAGCACACAAGGGAGGGGTGAGGATAGGTAAGACACCTAAAAAACTAGCTAGCATTTGTTGCCCTTAACGCAGAGAAACTAAAGCAGATACCTTAAAGCAACTGAGGCCAATAGGAAAAGGGGAACAGGTACTAGAGAAAAGGTTAGATCAAAAAGAATTAACCTAGAAGGTAACACCCACACACAGGAAATCAATGTGAGTCAATGCCCTGTATAGCTATCCTTATCTCAACCAGCAAAACCCCTTGTTCCTTCCTATTATTGCTTATACTCTCTCTACAACAAAATTAGAAATAAGGGCAAAATAGTTTCTGCTGGGTATTGAGGGGGGGAGAGGGAGGGGGCAGAGTGGGTGGTAAGGGAGGGGGTGGGGGCAGTGGGGAGAAATGAACCAATCCATGTATGCACATATGAATAATAAAAGAAAAATGGAAAAAAAAAAAAGAATTCCAGGGAGGAATACCTTTTTTGTACTATTCATAATAACTAAAGGCTGAAAAAAACATCCAGTTTTCAGAGACAAGATAAAACCATAACATACCCCTATTTAGTATGCATCATTTTAAGAATACCATAGCTCTATTCATGATAGTAGATAAAAATGCCCAGAACGTTAACTGAAATGGATGATTATAGTGATATATATATACATATACATATGCATATTGAAAGCAGACTTTATACATATACATATATATGTATACGTATATATGTATACCATCAAATGTTATCAATGATTAATTTATGTGTTATTGTCATAAAAGAGTCTGTACAATACTAAGTTTTAAAATTTGAAATTTAATGTGGCAGTTAATTTTATGTGTCCATTTGACTGTGTCCAGATATCTAGTAAGGTATTATTTCCAGCTGTATCTTGTGAGGGTGTTTCCAGAAAAGTACAGCATTTGCACTAATGGAATGAGTAAAGACAACCCACCCTTCCCAGTGTGGATGAGGAGGCAACATACAATTAAGGGGCTACTCAAGCAGAGTGAAAAGTGAAAAGGAGGAGGAGCAAACTGGAACATCATTTGTCCCACCCTCAGATACTGGAGCACCCGGTTCTCTGGCCTTCACGTTCCAGGACTTCCATCACACACACTGGGCACACTCTGGCCCCAGGACCACTGCTTCTCAGGGTTCTTGGTCAGGAGTACTTTCCCCATAAACAGATATAAGGCTGTTCCCTGACCTTCTTCAGCCTTTGGCTAAATGTCATCTATCACCTTGGTTAACATTGCAGGCCTCCTTGCCCCATCTCCTCTATTGGCATTGTTTTCCCCTATGCTCTTATCTAACATACTTTGTTTCACTCATTTTCGTTTTCTTTCCCCAGCTAGACTATAAGGTCTGTGAGGACAGTCTGTACTGGCAAATGCTCCACTCCAGGTACTCAGAAGATGTCAGGCATGGAGTCAGACCTCAGTTATTTGTTGGATGAATTAGTGAGTAGATATCAGGCAAAAAGTAACCAAAAGAATGTTGGTATAACTTTTAGTATCAGGCAAAAGTAGACTCTAATGCAAATAACATTTTATTAAAGTTTGTTAGCCAGTATTCTCCAGAAAAAAAGAAACAGAACCAATGTGATTATTAAGATGATGAGACTTAGCTCCCATGATTATAGAAGCTAAGCAGTCCCTTAATATACTACACTTGCTAGGGAACCAGGAAAGCCAGTGGTGAAGGCCTGAGGACCTCAGAGGTTGTCAAAGGGAGCTGCAAGAAGGGAAAAGCTTAAGGAATGGACATCTGAGGCTATTTGCAATGTACGGGGCACACCCCACCGTTGCTCATGCCCAATCTGACTGATCCTCCAGAGCCATTCAGAATGGGCAGAATGGCCACTAATCGACACACATGAAAGACAAATGCAGATTGCACAGGAATGACTGAAAACTGGTCAGTCACTAGAACTACTAGCCTCATTCCCCACTGGACTTAGACAAGACCCAGGGTATTAATGCCCAGGTTACACATCAAAATTACTTGCCATATGGTTGGACATGGCGGCAAACACTACTCCAGCTACTCAGGAAGAAGAGGAAGGACGATCATACATTTGAGGTCCACCCAGACAAAGTTAGCAAGATTCCATCTCAAAAACAAAATGAGATGTGTTGAAACTATTCCAGGAATGGGTTGGGGGAATAAAGGAGAATAATGAAGGGGTGAATTCAACTATGATGTAAGAACTTTGGTAAATATCACCCAGTAAAACAATAATAAAAAAAGTGAATGAATGCAGTAGTATTTTAAGCAAAATATTTTCAGAAGGAAATAATACTGAGAAAAATTTAACAGTTTCTCCTCAAATATTAACTGCATCTTTTTAAAAAAATTTACTATGGTACATACATATAAAATTTACTGTTACAATCATTTTTAAGTGTACAGTTCAATGGTATTAAAAAATTTATAATGTTGTGTAACTCTCAACACCATCCACATCCAAAATCCTTTTCAGCTTATAAAACCCAAACTCTAGACCCACTAAACACTAACTCTTTATTTCCCTTTATCCCAGCCACTGGCAACCACTATTCTTCTGTCTCTATGATTTTGACTTGCTCTTCATCATTTAAGTGAAATCATAGAGTATTTTTTTGTGACTGGCTTATTTCACTAGCACAA